AACTACAGAGGCATCACTTTGCTGTCAGTTCCAGGCAAGGTGTTTGCCCGCATCCTTCTTGATCGCATCCGTCCTCTTTTGCTGTCTCGGCGCCGTAGAGAACAAAGTGGCTTCACGCTTGGTAGGTCTACCATAGACAGGATATTCACGTTCTCACTTCTTCTACAGACCAGACATGAATTTGGTAGACCTTTCTAGATTACCTACTTTGCTCAAACAAAACTATTTTTTAGAACGTTTATTTTGAGTAATAATCTGAAAAAATTTTGTTAAACCTACTTCTATTGTTTTATTCTGTCTCAAATTTAACATAGTTTCATAGAGGTCTGCTAAACCTAAAAAATCAATTATTGAATAAATAATAGGTGAGCAATTCAATGAAATTCATAAAATATAACTTGAGGAGTTGAAAATGTGCTCATAAATATAAATAGCCAACAAAGCATCGCATTCTTCAACCTCGGTTTTCAAATTCAATTTTGCAATGGACATTGCAAAATTAGTTCTAGAAGTGATATTAAAATTAAAACAATGTGCAATCACAATAAATTAAATATTAAACAGCGTAATTCTTTGTGTAAAATTAGTTCTAGAAATGATATTAAAATTAAAACAATGTGCAATTACAATAGATTAAATATTAAACAGCGTAATTCTTTGTGTACCGGTACAATCATTCAATTTTAATTCAATGAAATTAAAATCGTTACCGCTAGATATTATCTAGCGGTAACGATAAAAATCATAAAAAACTTTTAAATCTTAAAAAGCCGTCTTAAAAAGCCGTCCAAGTCGTCATTAGCTTCATCATGTGATAATAACAAAAAAAAATTGTTTTGATAAGTTCATAAATAGTAACTATATCATGAAGTTTAAGGCCATATGCTAGAAAAAACACGGAATATGAAACAGAAATGAACGCGGTGCAGAAATGCACGTGGTGGCCAGTTTTTAGATGTAGCAAAACTGAACGCTCTTTACATAGTTTACAAATATTTCTAAGCGCAGAAAAGTGAAAAAAGACTTGCAAAGACAAACTACAAATAAAAGTGATCACTTTTGTTTGTCACGTTGTCGAAGTTTCCGTAGTGCGAATATTGCATCTGACCATCAATGTGAAATCAAAAAAAGATGTGAAAAAAAGCAGATTTGAAAAAAAATAAAACACATTTTTAAAATTTTGATACAGACAAAGGATTAAATAAAGATGTTGTAAAGATAAAGATTGAAAAAAACACAAATGTACCAATTTACAAAAATTTCGTCATGCTGAGTCTTTCGTAACAAAAGTTATTGAACTCAAAACGGGTTACAATTTTTAATAATTTATGCATATATTCTCTCTCTCTCTCTCTATATATATATATATATATATAGAATATATGCATAAATTATTAAAAATTATATATATATATATAAACTTCATTAAATATTTTTGCCCATTTTGCGTCGATTAGTTTTTTAATAATAGATTCAACATAAATAAATCAT